TAAAAAGTAAAATTGTAAATGAATTATTGGATCCATTAGCAAAATCCATTTACACAAATTTAATGCAAAAGCAGCTAACCCCCAACCACCGCTCTGGGAAAAACTTTACACACTTGGTTGAACTTTTTGGCAGTCGGAAAGGCTGAAGGAGATTTAGGCTTTGCCCAACGAGGAGAAGAAGGGTTGAGATGGAAATAAGAACTTAGCAATTAAAAAATAAGCAAAGCTAAAGAAAACATTTTTAGTATTACGTAAAGGGGTTGTGATTGCAGCAGAGGTTTTCCTCAGGCTGGCCCAGAATTTCCATTTCCACAACGAAATCGAACGATTTGCATAGGAAAATAGACAAATGTGGATGGTCTGTGAATTTGGCCTGCAGCACGGAAAGCCCAGACTTGTTTTGGGTATGAGTCCTCTCACAATATTATTTTAACTTTGGCCTTAAGTAAAAGTTGGCGGTATTATTCAGGTTTCTCAGAAACCATTCAAAAAGCTTCTATCCAACCGATACCTTTTTCCTAGACAAGTCTGTTTAATATTATTATTCGAAGGTTTATATTATTAAGGTAATGTTTGTGATCAAAGGTAATAAAAAAATGGGAAACGCAGTTTATGTAACAATAACAAAAGCCGCAAATTTATTTACTTGTTTTTTTGCTTACCCACTTGCTTTTCAATTTATTTACAAACCACTTAATTTGTTTTTATTTAATCAGATTCTGTTTTAATTACATTCTATATGGCACGTTAAGTCGGAAATTAAAAATGCATACGCTTCGATTTCAGATTTTCAACCTTTTTTTTTTGTTTTTTCGCCAAATTCACCATCAATATTTATTGGAGTGTCCACATTGGCTCTGTGTTTTTTAATGCAATTACGGACAATGCAAACAATTGGTTTTTATGGACTTATAAACCATTTTTATGACCAACTTGTCTGTCTCTGCTCTCGGCTTTCTCCCTCTCTCTGCGAGATTTATGTTCTGCTTTATATATTTTTATTTATATTAACTTTTTTCACAGCTCCGATCGAGTGTTGTTGGTTGTGTGCATTAAGTGGCATTAATTATTATTTATGACATTGTTTTTGTCATTCAATTTTGATGATATTTTTCAATGAATTAACGCCGCAACGACTTTCTTTTGTTTTTTAAACTTCAGTTTCACATATAATAAAATTAATTAATGACTGTTCGGGTTTGATTTTAATATAAAGAATGAAGCTGCCATGAAAAACCTACCTAACTACTACCTAGCTATATCTGTTGATATCTTTCCAGAGATACCCTAAACTGCACGACTACAAAAAAATTGAATTTTGATTGACCACAAAGCAACGATATTGATTTACGGCAACAGTTATGAGAATGTGCAGGGCTGAATTGGCCAGAAATGAGGCTTAATACTGAGCCAGGGCCAACTGTCGACAGTCGCCACCGCCACTAAGGTTTCCCTTCAGCTTTTGCTGACACTTGAGCAGAGCCAGAGCCAGGGTAAATCACATGAGCCGGGGCCAAATGGCCAAGTGGCCAACCAAAAGCCAGGCCAATAAGCAGTCAGTTAGCTGCAACTGGTAACTCGAGACCACAAAAAGGGAAAAATCAAGCAAACTGTGTAGGGAGAAAGGGGCAGAAGTTGACCAAATCGACGCCAGAACAAATTGAGCAGAAAACCAGAAGGCGCCAGCGAGGAGAGGAGCTCGATGGATCGATGGTGCGATGGTAACAATCCTTTTGGGCCATGGTATTTTGACACTTGCCACTCAACGACAACAGTTATTTGGGCTTATAATGAATATGAGCAACACACCGAAGGTCACCCTGTTGCCAAAGAGAAGTCCTTCAAGGTCCTGTTGAGTTTTTTTTTTACCAGTATTGGTGACATGTGGCGCCAAGTAGTCATCCGCAAAAACCAAAGCAATTTCCGGGCCCCGGCAACAAGCAGGAAACCCTAGATAGAAAAGATAGAAAAATTTCTAACTTACTTTGAGTCTCAAAACTCTAATGAAGACAGCAACAAAATGTCTTTTACCTAATGAATGACAGTTCAGGGGAAAAGTTAAGGGGATTTCTGGACTGACTGACTGCTTGGAATGAACCTCCTACTCCTCCATAGACATGGATAGTCCAAGAAGCCCTCTTTGACTCATTAAAAAATTAGATTTCAAAGCGAGCTATATTATTCTTTGGCTATACTCTACAAAAAGAAAACTTAGCCAGTTAGTTTAGACTCAGTATAGAAGGTAAAATTCAAAATTTCATATTAAAAAATATTACATTTTTGAAAAGTAAAAACATAATCTTTGACTTTATGGTTTTCTAAAATCAAAAAGAGTGTATCTCATTCGACTTTATCATTAGCTTTACTAAGCTTTAGCTGTTTTTTTCGCCTTATCCATTTCTTTTTGAGCTAAAATCAACAAAAATTTTTAATTTCATTTTTCAAACGTCGCTTTGATACCTGCACGCCGCATTAACACCCCCAGATACCCCACCAAAAATAAAATGAAAACCCAAGACTCGACCCGGCATATCTGACTGATGGACTGGCTGAATGACTGACTGACTGAATGACTGACTACTGCCCAGCCCTTGACTGATAATTTGATATGCCTCGGCCTGTTTATGCGGTGGGTTCATCATAAGGGCGAGGATGGCACGGGGGCGTTTTAATTTTATTTGCACAAAAATGCGCGTCAATATTACCGAAAAAATACATTTGGACAAGGCGACGTTGCCGCGTGTTGTTTTCTTTTTTCTCTCACTTTTTTTTTGGCTGCTCTGTGGCCAAAGCAAATAAAATTCATTATGAATTTCTAATTATATTGCCAGCCAAAGGCAACCCTCACAAAAAAGCCAAAAGTTGCCTCAAAAAAGTTTACATTTTTTCCAAGCCCCCTTTTGGAAAATGTCAAGCCGCACATTTGACAATGATGAATTTCCACCAACAACCCCCAAAAAAGGGCGCCAGGAAAAAAATGCTTTAGATAAACTGATTAGGCACATCAATTGGGCAAAGAACTCGTCTTTTCTAACGCCAAACCGGGAAAACCTTCGCCTAATGGCAATTGTTTTGTGAAAATTGAATTTTCCCCTGTACTCCTGGGCATTTCATTGTCTGCCCGGTTACAAAAACTTCGGAAAAGCGTCGGCTGTCTAATTAGAAATATGAAATAAGGCAAATGTTTTGCGGTTTTCTGCACCTGCTGCCCGAGATAATGAGGCTCAAGGTGAGCCTGGGGGTGGCAAAGGTATTTGTTTAAATTATTATTGGACTTAATTATAGCCAAGAATGCGCAATAATGGAAACCAATTTCAAGTTCTGCTAGGGAAGTCGATAAAAATGGGAGAAGCCCCCAAGGAGTTTGGAAATGTTAAGCTTTTTGTGGTATTATACAAAAGTTTCGACTATTTACAATGACTTTAAAGGGGTTTGAAATGCTATACAATATTAAACTTATTATATATTGCTTATATTTATTGTAAATTTAGAGTGAAAGTTTGTCTCGTATCTTCCCTAATTTTTATACAAACCATTTAACTTCTATGAAACACTAAAATGAAAATTAAACAGCAAAGCTCATAAATGTAATCCAATCTGCCTATATAGCACATTAATTCACACATTAAGCTATTTGGCATTGATTTCTATTTGCCCAGCAATGATTGACTGATTGATGATATCGAAACTGCCCGAAATAAACAAACAAAACGACCCAAAAAGACCAAAGTAAATAGTTGTTAGATGGAAATGAAAATGGAGATTTGTGGCTAATAGACAGAATAGTGGACATGGTCGGCTAAGGTCAGGAGTGGTTGGTCTGGTTTACTATCTGGGGCACAATGATATAGAAGAGATATATAGTTGTGTATAGAAGGGAAGAGTGTGGGGCAAACAATGGGATGATGATGATGAGTCGGGCCTCCGATATAAATCAAACAACAATGCGAGACACAGATACAGATATGGTTGCGGATAAAACACACACACATGCATATATTCGAGGACATTCGAGGATAATGCCGCCTCTCAACACGAACACGCCTTTCACCGCCCCGGCCCCCGATTTTCCGGGTTTTCATTGTCAACGCTAAGCAGCGTGTGAGGATTATTTCGCATTCTTCTGCAAGGACCCGCCACGTCCTTTTGTCTAATTGGTTGTGTCACATACGAGTACAGAGTACATCGGATCATATCCATCCCCATCGCATTGTTGTGACCGTTGTCTTATTAGCTGTCCCATTTCGACTTCTGCCTAGTGAAACATCTTTGGCCGCTTTGTTTGGGGTATTTAATGCTTCAATTGATTCCTGATTTAAGTGCCTCCCCGCGGACCCAAAACAGCTGCTGAAGATTCGGCAGCCCAGCAGGTTGTCCTCCACTCGAAAGCCGGGTCGGGAAAGATCGATTCGGGGTCAGCTAATTGAAAGTCTTTCACCTTCATCAAGAGCCTAATGACGACCGACGATGATAATGCGCAAAATGAAGTAAATCACGAAAATGCGCTATATAGAAAATGAGAGCTCCGGGTATCAGAGATATTAAATTCCTAATTGTGAACCCAAATATGGTCTAGCTAGTTTTATAGCAGAAATTTCGGCACAATCTTTGAACCATATTTAATGTTTAATTAAAAAATCTTTGCTAGTCATAAAAAATTAAAAATATATTACATTTTAAGCACAATTAACTTATTACTTGTTTACTATTTTCGAAGTAAAATACAAAAATATCAATAACTGTAGGAGACACTCACTGAAAACGTGAATTATTTGACAGTAGAAAAGACCCCCTAAAAGTTGAGTCACAGCAATTTGTGAAACTGTATTAACTGACAAGGCAGCACAAAGCCAACGCAATAAAGTCGGAAAACATTGACAGGAACTACGTAATGTCTGAAAACCTGATAATGGCATCATCGGCAGAACAGTGAGATAAGCGAAAAACAGCAGTTGAGCTATGAAGCTTTTGAATGAGATTTCAGTTGCTAATTATCGACCTTAAAGTCAGGACGTATTCTCCTCGCCAAAAATGAGATTTTATTTATTTTATTTACTGGGTTTACTCAGTGTGACAAGTTTAACCAATGCTGCCAGCAATCTGATCTGTTATTATGACTCGGCCTCGTATTTGCGGCAAGGTTTTGCAAAAATGCGTCCAACTGAAATCGATTTGGCGTTGCAGTTTTGCACCCACTTGGTTTACGGATACGCGGGATTGAAGCCAGCAACTCTTGAGTTATTTAGCTTAAATGTGGACCTGGACATGTTCTACTACAAGGAAATTACTAACCTGCGCCAGAAGTATCCTCAACTGAAAATTCTCCTCAGTGTGGGTGGTGATCGTGATGTGGATGAGGCTCATCCCAACAAGTATATAGAGCTGCTGGAGGCCAACCGCACTGCTCAGCAGAATTTCATTGATAGCAGCATGATTTTGCTAAAAAGAAATGGTTTCGATGGCCTTGATCTAGCTTTCCAACTGCCACGCAATAAGCCCAGAAAAGTGCATGGTTCTATTGGAACCTATTGGAAGTCCTTCAAGAAACTCTTTACTGGCGACTTTATTGTGGATCCCCTCGCGGAGCAGCACAAGTCACAATTCACCGATCTCGTGGGAAATATTAAGAATGCTTTCAGATCTGCAAATCTTATGTTGTCTTTGACTGTGCTGCCCAATGTGAATTCAACTTGTAAGTATAAGTCAGCTGGAAATGCATTTTAACTTACTAATACTTGAACTTTTTGTAGGGTACTTTGATGTCCCCAAACTGCATCCCCAGTTTGATTATATCAACCTGGCTGCCTTTGACTTCCACACGCCTTTGCGTAATCCCGAGGAGGCCGACTACACAGCTCCGATTTTCTTTTTAGACGAAGAGAATCGTTTGCCCCATTTGAATGTCGAGTTCCAGATAAATTACTGGCTCCAAAATCAGTGTCCTGGCCAAAAGTTAAACTTGGGAATAGCCAGTTACGGAAGGGCTTGGAAATTAAGCACGGGATCAGGATTGAGTGGAGCTCCAGTTATTCACGAGACATGTGGACCGGCACCTGGAGGTATACAAATTGAGAGTTCCGAGGGTCTGCTTAGTTGGCCAGAGATTTGCTCCAAGTTGTCGCAGAATTCATCGGCTCTATATAGAGGAGAAACAGCGCCTCTTCGCAAGGTCACAGATCTAACCCAAAAATACGGAAACTATGCCCTTCGACCAGCGGATGAAAATGGAGATTATGGTGTCTGGCTGAGTTTTGATGATCCTGACTTTGCTGGAATAAAAGCAGGATATGCCAAGGGCAAGGGACTCGGAGGACTTGCTATATTCGATTTAAGTTACGACGATTTCCGGGGACTCTGCACTGGCCAGAAGTTTCCCATTGTGCGATCGATAAAGTACTTCATGGGATAGAGAATTGCCTTTGTTACTGTTCATAGCTTAATATATTATTTTGAGTAATTGTTAAAATTATAAATAAAAATTCAATTCATTTGAATCTATCAAAATTTCTTTGTTTAATTTGGTATTGAGAAACATCAAAAACAATTCTTATAAAACACAATAAAACGATCGTTTTAGAATATAAACTTGTTTATCTATAATTTCTAGAAAAAATCCCAATTTTTCAAGGCACGTTTTCCAAACAATTTCGATTTGCAAAACAAAAAATGTTTTTATTAGCGCGTGCGATAAACTAAATCATTTTGTAGACGGGTTTTTCCAACGAATTGGGTTCTATATTTACTTGCGAAATAAATCTGAAATACTGTTTCTGAATTCTAATCAGCGAGCGCGTTTCAATGTTTTGAGATTAATTGCTTTATTTTTGTGTTTTTTGAGGTCTCAACGTTTTGACCCTGCGTCTGCCTCGCCGCAATCGTCGTCATTAACTTGTGTGTACACAATTAAGTCATTGCGAGAATAAGTAAGCCAGCAATGAGCTCGGCTTCGACTCGACTCTGGTCTCTGATCTCAGTGTTTCCCCCTCCTAAAGCTCTGCTCAAGCTTTTTGTCGTCGGTTTGGGTTTAAGTTTCGATTTCGGTTTCCATTCCGATTTCAGTCTCAGTTCGATTTCGTTTGATCTGGTCTGCGGTTGTGTCTATAGAGATATTTTCCCGGCACCATGAAGGGCTGGATCTGGTTTACGTTTGCCGCGTGCCTCTTTGTGGCAAGTACAGAAGCTGCCTCCAATTTGGTCTGCTACTATGACTCTTCGAGTTACATAAGAGAAGGTGAGTAAGGGGGATAGGATTTTTAAGAAACTAAATAAGAGAAGGTGCTAAAAAACGAATGGAATCCCCGTCTGTGAAATGAAAATTAAATTTCAAGTTGAAAGATTAAACATATTTGCCATTTGAAAGATTTTTCAAAGTCCAGTGTCTTAACTGTGTGTTCCATTTATTGTTTATATTTAAAAGTGGCAATATAAATACTACTTTTTGAGTTGAAATAAGTGCCAAGTAAACATAAAAAGTTTATTTTTGTATTATTTATGATATCATCATAAGCACATCGGCATATAACTAGCACAACATTTGATTAGCATGCGCCAAATTTACAAACGAATGAAAACAAAAGCATGCTAATCAAGTTACATAACCATTTGTGATTCAAAACAAAACTGGGACTTAATTCAGTTCAGCTTGCAGTGCTTATCTCTTGAAACTGAGAGCTGAAGAGAGCTAAAGCTAGTTCTATAGAGGTCAGTGGCTTATCGGACAAGTTTTTTTGTTTAAAATAACACAGAGAGTCTGGCTGGCTCTCCCGCAGAGATTTCACTCGACGAAGCGATAAATAGCAGCTTCTTGGACTATGGGTTAACAAGCTAATTAGAGCGGAGTTAACTTACCAAACTGTAATAATGAGGAGTAATTATGAAATGAATATGCCAAATATGGCAATTAGTTGATTATATTGATCTACTCTGATCCGTAGCTTAGTCGAGTTAAGTCGATAAAAAGCCGATCCCACGCATTCGAAATGAAAACCAGAGCGTTCAACACACAGCGAGTCCAGCACGACAACTGCCCCGCTAGCGGACGCTGACTTGGCACCAGCAGCGATCCAAACAAGTGGCAAGCAGAGCACCAAGTGACTCAGCAGAGCTGCACAGTGGCCTCAGGCTTGGGGAAAATTAGGTAAAAATTTATTTTATTTAAAGTAATACACTAAATTCTTCAAGAGGCTGTACAAAATGAAATTTTTAGAGGTAAAAAGGCCTGGCTGAAAGGGAAACAAACTATTTTAAGATAAGTTTTTTTGGCACATCTCGACCCACTGTGCTCTGCACCCAAGTCAAACAACAATAAACCGCTCGCTGGGATCACACTGTTGGCGTTCAATTAAGCCACTGAAGTCGACGAGACAATGGATCAGTCTCCGGGAGGAGGTGATGGTGGTCAGGGGGATCTCGGCTCTCGAGTAGTTCCGGCGAGAGCGAGAGTGTTGGGTGTCAGATCTCAGTGCCCAGATTAGTGTCTCACAACAATGCCCTCTCTGAATCTCTGATTATTTGTCATTCGAGTGCAGCTTGTCGTACGTCTCGTGCATATTAAATAATGCCACCTTACGAATTTCAATTGCGAATTTTCCAGGCCTGGGCAAGCTGCTTAATCCCGATCTGGAAATTGGTGTACAATTCTGCACCCACTTGATCTACGGCTATGCCGGAATCCGTGGTGAAAACCTCCAGGCGTACAGTCTGCGCGAGAACCTGGATATCTACAACCATCAGTTCTCCGAAGTGACCGCCCTTAAGAGGAAGTACCCCCATCTGAAGGTTCTATTGAGTGTGGGCGGTGATCACGATATCGATATTGAACATCCCAACAAATATATCCAACTGTTGGAGGGCGAGAAGGTTCAACAAGTTGGATTTATCCGATCGGCCTATGACTTGGTGAAGAACTACGGTTTTGATGGCTTGGATCTGGCCTATCAGTTCCCCAAGAACAAGCCCAGGAAGGTTCACGGTGAATTGGGCTCGGCCTGGAAGAGTATTAAGAAGCTGTTTACCGGAGATTTCATCGTAGATCCGCAAGCCGCACTTCATAAGGAACAGTTTACTGCTTTTGTTAGGGATGTCAAGGACTCCCTACGAGCTGATGGCTTCCTTCTCAGCCTGACTGTATTGCCCAATGTCAACTCTACGTGTAAGTTCAATAATTTAAAAATATTTTATTCTCTTCAATAACCCAATTTATAACTTCAGGGTACTTTGACATTCCCGCTCTGAATGGCCTTGTGGACTTTGTGAACCTGGCTGCCTTTGATTTCCTCACTCCTCTTCGCAACCCCAAGGAGGCGGATTATAGCGCCCCCATCTATCATCCCGATGGATCGAAGGATCGCTTAGCCCACCTTAATGCTGATTTCCAGGTGGATTACTGGCTGCGTCAGGGATTCCCATCGAATAAGATTAATCTGGGAGTGGCTACCTATGGAAATGCCTGGAAACTGAGCAGCGAGTCTGGTCTCGATGGAGTTCCAGTTGTGCCTCATACCAAAGGTGTAGCTCCCGAGGGTGTTCAGTCCCAGACACCTGGCATTCTTAGCTATGCCGAGATCTGCGGAAAGTTGTCCAATCCCCAAAATCAATTCCTCAAGGGCAACGATTCACCGCTGCGAAGGATTTCTGATCCTACCAAAAGATTCGGTGGTATCGCCTATCGTCCTGTAGATGGTCCAATAACCGAAGGCATCTGGGTGAGCTACGATGATCCCGATTCGGCCTCCAACAAGGCAGCTTACGCCCGTGCCAAGAACCTAGGAGGCGTGGCTCTCTTCGATTTGAGCTATGATGATTTCCGTGGACAGTGCACAGGGGATAAGTATCCCATCCTGCGGGCCATCAAATATCGTCTTTAAATACCAAAAAAAAAAGTACTTTTAATGGAAGAAAACTACAAATAAATAGTGATTTATAAAGTGTAATTGTATTGGAAGAGTATTTTTGGTTTAATGGAAAAATCAAATGCTTATCTGTGTCAAGTTTTTAATGCCCATTTTTAAAAAGCATATTTTTAAAAGCTTTTCTGTGTGATTGAACATCTTATCCGCCTCTGTTTGTAATATTTATTTATTTTGCACTTATTCGCTAAGTACCTACTTTTATTGGACCTTGAAAACACATTATTAATAATCTACTTATACTCCTCCACAATCCCTTAATCGTTCTCCACATAAATATTTACATATTTTTTGGGCATGAGTAACGTAGCGACCTTGCTAATTCGTCAACACCTTATAAAGTGCAGATTTATCACTGGGTGTGCACCCATAAATACTCGTAGATTTAGCCTATTTAAACTATGAGTCGGTGGGCTTTATCTCTAGTCAGAGGTATTATCTCTTTCTTTTTTCTGTAAATTACCGAGCCGAGAGGTGATCTCATTGAACCCGATGTCAGATGCCACTTAAGACAAACAATTTTGTTGAATTTCGTTGATAATAAGCCCCACGAATGGCGTTTGCCATTGTTCGCCCGGGGTTTTCGGTTCGTTACGGGGAATCGGACGGAGGTGATTCCACTGAAAAGCTCCACAGCCCATATTTATTCCAATTCCCAAGTGCTAAGTGTCATTTCGTATTCAGTTTGGTTTCGCATCTCGTCGGCGACGGACTGTTACAAATAATACCTCCGAGGTCTATAGTGTTTTTAGTGGGTTTTGATTTTGTAGAGCTCTCTGATTAATCTCTCTCTACAAAGATGACTGGCTCTCTTTGGCTCAGTTTGGCACTGGGTCTGGCCGTATTAGCTCAGTACAATGTGAGCGCCGCTCCTAATCTGGTTTGTTTCTATGACTCTCAGGGCTTCCAGCGTCAGGGTAAGTTTTCTAATTCGGAGAAACATATAATTTATAAAGGTTTACTAATTGTTTATTTTCCATTCAAGGGCTGGCTCAGTTCTCGATGACCGATATGGAACTGGCCCTGCAATTTTGCACCCATTTGATCTACGGCTATGCTGGTGTTAATGCCGATAACTACGAAATGCAGAGTATCAACAAGAGATTGGATCTGGAGCAGCGTCATCTGGCTCAGGTTTCTGCCCTGAAGGAGCGTTATCCCCACATCAAGTTCCTTTTGAGTGTGGGTGGAGATGCAGATCAGAACGATGGCAACCAGTACATAAAACTCTTGGAATCGGGTCAACAGGGTCATAGGCGGTTCATTGAATCCGCTCGTGATTTAATAAGGCGTTACAATTTCGATGGCCTGGACTTGGCCCTGCAACTCCCCAGGAATAAGCCACGTAAAGTTCACGGCGATGTTGGTTCCGCCTGGAAGAGTTTTAAAAAGTTTTTCACCGGCGATTTCGTTGTGGACACCGAATCGGAAACCCACAAAGGACAGGTGACTGCCCTGATCAAGGACTTGAATGCCGCCCTTAAGCAAAATGATCTGCTTCTGAGTCTCACTGTTTTGCCAAATGTTAACTCAAGCTGTAAGTATAAGCAATTATCTTAATTATTCCGACTAACCGGTGTAATTTGATGAGTCAGAAAAGCATTCCGATTACGTCTATGATAAAACAACCTGACTTAGTTGATATACAGCTGTTTACTCTTTATAAGCAACTGTTTTTACATTATAAACTAAATGCGTTGTGATTCCTATTTAGCTTTATTAATGAATAATAAGAATTATAATTATAAGTCAAGCGCGATGCATATTATTTGTTATATAAACTAAAAAATTTATTCTTATAGGGTACTACGATGCCCCTTCGATCGCTCCCAGCTTGGACTTTATTAATCTGGGAACCTTTGACTTCCTCACCCCGCAACGTAATCCCGAGGAGGCGGACTTTACGGCGCCTACATACGAGGCCGTCGGACAGAATCGCTTGGGACACTACAATCTAAACTACCAAATGGAACACTGGCTGCTCCAGAGAGTTCCGGCTAATAAAATAAATATTGGTATTGCCACATATGGTAGATCCTGGAAGATGTCCAAGGATTCAGGGGACTCCGGAATGCCAGTGGTTCCTTCGACTGAAGGACCTGCTCCAGCAGGACCTCAGAGCAAAAAGGAGGGCCTTCTCAACTGGGCTGAGATTTGCCAGCTGATGCCGAACCCCAGTAATGCCAATGCCAGAGGAGCTGGTGCTCCGATCAAAAGAGTTTTAGATCCCACTAAACGCTATGGTAGCTATGCCTTCCGTGCCGCTGATGAGAATGGAGAGTATGGATTGTGGGTCAGCTACGACGATCCGGATTCGGCAGCCAGCAAGGCTCAATATGCTCGTGTCAGAAATCTGGGAGGAGTGGCTCTGTTCGATTTAACCCAGGATGACTTCCGTGGTCAGTGCACCAACGATCGCTTCCCCATGCTGCGTGCCATCAAGTACCGACTTCTCTAAGTTAACTCCAGACCATAAAGACATCACCAGCACGCAAATGTCAACCAAATGGAAATCCAACAGAGGAAGGCGGCGCTGGGAGGGAACAACAAATGTCACCCGATCGGTGGCTTAAGGCCTCCTTCTGTGTCTGTCCCTTTTTGCAAATTAATTACAAAGTTGTAAACTAAAATGCACCGCAAATTAATTCGATGGGCTTGGTCCTCAAAGGGAGGAGGGGAATGATAATGTACTGAGAGAAAAATGAGGTTAGAAACAACAACAACATTGCAACTATTTGATTAATCATGAAAATGATATTTTTATCAAAATTTTTCTAAACTATAGTAACTTCTACATAATTTTACAATTATTTCGAGATATCACCATAATCACTAGATTTTTCTTAGGTGCATCGATTGCCTTTTCTCTGGTTTAATTGCCCCTTTTGCATTGAATTGTTTGGCGCCCACGTCTGGGCGGATCGGCCGCTTTATCATCTCGGACCCATCTTGGTCAAATGGCATTTTGCGGTGGTTTTTTCTTTGCCGATTTTCCTCTCTTTTTCTGCCCCAGCTCAGATTTACAGATTTCGCCATAGAGTTCGAACTGCTTAACTTGGCTTTGTGTAATTGGCGCTACATACGCGAAACTCCGAAAAAAAAACCCCGATTCGCGATCCATATGCGTACTCCACCGTGGCTGGACCGTGGAAGCCCCCACCCGGCCGACCGTGTGTTCCCCTTGTTTACAGAATTGCTGACATACCACCATGCAAAGGTTGCCACTACAGTGAACTGTGGCCACAAGGACCTGGTTCAGGGGTGTCCGGACCGACTGCCTCGACTGGCGACGACGACGACACGATGTAAGACAACTAAATTAAGTTATTGTTTCTTGGGCAAAACTAAAGGTTGTCATTGATCAGGGAATACCCTTATATTGAGAGTTGACAGTCTTTAAAATAAAATAAATAAATATTTAAATGAAAGTCATATTAATTGCAAACCTAACAAGAACAAATATCATTCCAAAATTAGTTTATTTTCAATATATTATGGAATAATGTTCCGTTTACAAATATTTTAGAACAACTTAGTAAACTCAAATACATCGTCCGTTTCGTTAAATAATTTACTAAAAATGCAACAATATTTTCTTTTTTTCTTTTTAATCTTTGAATATATAAGCTGATGAGCAATTTAATATAAAATTTGCATAAATACAATATTAAGTAAACACTACACAATTCTAGGTACCGCAAAAATCCTTTACATTTATCTAATAATCTCTGGCCAACTGAAGAATTTCCTACTTATGAATATGCTGTGTGTCTGGATCTCCCACACTTCCTATACTCTAACCACTGTTAAGCAAATTCAAACCCTTGGAGCCTGCTGGAAGTCCTAGCTGCTATCTAGGCGGCTTATCTGGGAATCGTGATCTTATTAAGCTGACTATACACTCGGAAATTATTTGCAATTGGCGCAATGCCTTATTGGAATGCAAAATATGCCATTAGTGGCAGAAGTCGAGACCTGGCCAGACTCAAGTAGCTTCCCAGACTTCAAGTTAAGGGCCTAAAGGGCATGGATTTTAGTTAGCTATATTGCCTGGTTCGTAAGAGAGAGGGGAGTTGGCATGAGCATGCCACTTGCATAGTGTACAAGTTGTAAACACGGCATTGTTTTGGCCACCGTTCCATAATATAAACTCCAAAACAGAACCTAAGTCTGAATGCACTTGGAAAAATCTGTTTAAACGATGTTATACAAAGAGAAGTTCTCTTAAGAAGTAATATTGTTTTCCATATTCTTTTTCTCAAGTGTAAACTGCTGGAATATATCGTTAATCGTGTTTCTAGGCTGAGGGCGAGGACGAAGACGAGGACAGAGCTGCAGGCTAGCTCCTGGGTTTTTGGCTTGTCGCCTCATCTAATTAAGGAGCATTTGGTCCACGGCGGCGTCTACAAGATCTGTTCATGATTATTGCCCCGGGCCATATCGCCGCCAGGAGCGCTCCCTGCGAATGACAAATATGCTGCCTTGCACCAGGGACTCCAACTTGGAGTCAGCGACTTCTGCTGTCTTCCAAGGAAGCCAGTCTCTTGGCTCTTTAAATAAAGATATTTTCGCCCTCATTACGCGCTGTGTCCTTTTGTTTATTTGCTGTGGTTTCCATTTTCCCCACTCCCATTTGCAGTTTCGTTTTTTTTTTTTTTTCTGTGGCCGATGAAGTGTCGCTGATTGCGCGTTGCATTGTTTTGGCCAGGTTGGGGGCAACCGAAAAAAAAGCGATGATGTCGATAAGAAAATGCATGTGGACTGGTCAGGGATTTGGGTTTGTTAGCCAACGATATGATAAGCTGACCGGTACGATAAAGATTTCCTTGGAAAGTTGCTATAGCTTGGATTTTTTTCCTCACATTCGGGATTAGAATGACTAAGTATCTCAGGCTGTGGCGGCCTCACAATTTGGCTTTTTCCTCCACAATGAACTTATTTTACTGCAGGCCAGGCCAGGTCTCGTTCTCCTTTTTTTTCTCCCACATTGTTATCGCTCTGTGCTTGCCTTGAGTTTGCATTTTTATTGCTTTGTTAATTTTAAATAAGCCACGCGACTTTATGTTCGTATATATGTATATATATGAGTCCGTATAAGGCAGTCGTCGTTAAGGGACTTCGTTAGAGAACTGGAGAACTTTAGCCACCAGGCCATCCGAATTGAGCTGTCTTCTCCTCCTGCAGTTCGTCCCGAAGATCGTTCTTGTCCAATTGTCAGCGGGTTGTCACACAAAATGATTTACAGATGACGATCATTGACGTGGACCATGGCCAAGTGGCGCCACAACACCGATGGATGCTTGTGGGAGAAGCTGGTAAGATAATTCCTAGGGATAAGCATAAGGAATTTTAAATTCTCTACATTAAATAACACATTTCCAATGCAAATACCGAATATTACTTTTTATAAATAATCTAGCAACTTGAAAAAATCTTACAACTCAAGATTTGTACTCGTACCTATTACTGTTATGGAAAAAAAATCATTCATCTATCTTCATTAATTTAACTTATTTGGTATCTCTGCTATTACCATCTCAACTTTGTACATATACCCAGTGGATGGGATGTGAGTAAAGAGCGATCAAAACAGGTGCTGATATGTTAATACTATAAGTGGGCAAAGTTTAATCCATACAAAAATAGCAGAAGAATATGACGGGTAGGAAGAAAATTGTAGATTTTCTTGAAAGTTTAATTATTATATAATAAAATAAGTTTTATATTTTAAAGAAAATGTACAATATTTCGTATAACAATGACTTTAGATCAATATTTAACAGTAAAAAGTACGATAAATCATAGTCCAACTCCATCATAAACCTAAAAAAAATGGCAACAACATCAGGAATAACAAACAAATTGCCAAAGACTTGTGGTCAGCGAGGAATGTGCATAAACATTTGCAAAACTCTCCGATTGCTGACACTAAAAATAAAACGCCCTGCCGCCGAACGTGTGAAATTATATTAGTAGTGAGACTAAAACTGGAATGGGTCCACAAATCGAAAGGAATTAAGAGGGCGACGGGGATGACGACGCGCCTAAAGCAAACAAATAAAACGCTGCAACTAAATGGCCAACTAACAGCATCAGCATCATCAACATCGACTGGCGGCACGCTTTAGAAATTTAATTAAATCGTCGGAGAAACAATAAAAACTACACTATGGCAAACACACACACACACACACTAAATCCCGGGACGAGGACTTTTATTACGCACTGTGCGCAGCTCTATCTATGCAATAACTCAAAAAATACTTGCCCCGTGTATCATTAAAATCAAAAATCACCCACGCTGGGTGGGATTTCGATTTGGATTCCGTGGAGGGAACTGGAACTGTTCTCGGATGGATCTTGCGATTTGCCATTAAAAATGTTTAGATGCACAAATAAACACTAAGCGGGCAATCGTTAAATATCGCCCCATTAACCATCCGTCGCCTCCAAAGGCAATTCCTCAATTCGTTTGTAAACATTTACGAAGAGGAAGAGATTTCACTTTGGGGAGGTTGTTTTGGGATTATTAAGATGTTTGTATTACAAATGGAATGAACTCGAAGAACATGATTTTTTCTAATATGTGCGGAAAAGCTCTCTAAATATTAGATTTATAAATACTAAAAATCTAGCCACTGTAATTAACAGAATGAATTGAATAAAATCCAATATAAACAAAATCATTTCCCATTAGTTCAATGTCCCATCCAATCCCTGAGTCAATCAGTGCAAACGAATTCTTATCTCCTGTTTCGCATGGCAGGCAGAGGAAAATGGATCATACCATACCCTTATATCTTTTTCGGAAAATTAGTATGCAACCCTTTTGCGTTGGTTACAAAAAACGGTAATCTCAAGCGTGGTTTAGCGATACGTCATCGTGATTTGGCAAATTTGACAGGCGAAAACGTCAGAAGAATAGAAAATCGTATGGGAAAAAGGGGGATTGATGTTTGCATAAATTGCTTAACAATTGGGCAATGTATGTATGTTTATCCTTGATTCATTCAATCGGTTGGCCAACTGACAGCAGCTGAGAGATTACTTCAATGATTTGCCAGAAACTCAGAATCAACAGCAACTGCAACACTTTGACATCATCAGATTGTGTTTTTTGTTTTGCCAGGGGGTTTTTCCTTTTTTCCCCCATTCAATCTTCGGTTGCGTGTCCTGTAGAGATTCCTCATTTGGTCGCAAATCGAACTGCCAACTTTGCCAAATTGAAGTGCGTGTGTATGCTGTTTGGTTTGTGGGGCAAAACAGTTGGACAAATTGAATCTACAGATTCTCAGGTATTAACCCTCCGCAGCAGTGAAAGAAAAAAATTGAATTATCATTTGCTGGTACATCAGATTTAATTCGTTTTGGCGCTGTACGCGTGCGCACGCAAATCTTAAGTCCCCAACTGGAGTTCCTCCTCCCTCTTTCTTGGTAGTAACCCCCTTGGTACTGCCG